TCACGCTTAACAATAGCTGAATGATGGCCATTTTAAGGCCGAAAATGCATCAAAATCATGTATTTTCACAATTCCGGAACCGGATCTCAGTCATGCATGGATGGATTTTGTTCAGATTTAGTACAATGTGTTGTACATATGCAGGTGCATTTCGGTCATGATCTGCTTTGAATGTATATGTCACTCAAATATGAACGGAACGGGGACATGTCATTGACAATGACTTGTTGTTTTAGTCATAGTTATCATTGCAACTTGTACAGTAAATGTCACAGATGTGGTTTGCATCTTGTAAACCCATTTACAAGATACTGAAAAATCCATAACATTGAAGTTTACAATCATAAACTCACATTAATTTGTGTAATTTCACACACCTCATGTGTTACTGATTTATGCACATTATTTCTCGTTTATTTTTTTGATATTACCACTTTTTTGTTTAATTTTGATAAAAGGGCAAGACAATAAGATTTGCATATTCTCAATTATTTCGACAAATTTTTTTATGAAATTCTCTTGAAAGTATTCCTTCTCCCTTCTCCCACATGCAAAACAGCCACCATGGTATTAACAATGACATTGTTTTTTTATTAGATGATATCAAAAGAAATGCATCTGATGAGTTGTTTAAAAATGATATTTATTTTACAATATTCTAACCATATCTTGAAATACAGTCTAAATGTACTGGTAAAGTGAAAACTATCTGTAATAAATACATTACTGGATGTGATCTGAATAAAAAAAAAAGGATTCTTTAAAATATATAAATATATATAAAACTCCCACAACTGTTATACTATTGGAAAAAAATGACTGAATTGTTAAAAATGAGTATCAAAAAATCTTTACAAAAAACAATATCTTTTTGTATTTTAAAAATAGAAAGAAAGGCGATTTACACAAAAGACAATGAATATTTCAGTATTTAGTTTGCTTAAAATGCTTTCTATCGATTATACACAGAAACCATCTACGACACAAAGTGGATAAGCTAGATGTTCTGTATATTCGTGTAACATTGTATTTGTTAGTGAAAATTTTTTAAAAATTCAGCATGATTTATAATAATTTGCTTCTAGACTGATCTAAATGTATGAAAAGTTTAAACTACCACATGAGCATATTTTAGCATAGTCATCGCGCAGCACATGTTTGAATTTCATGTAAACAAACAACGTATTTTCATGTGTACGTTGCAATGAGTCCCATATCAAAGAGGACACAACCCGACAACCACTGCCCTTTAACTAAGTGGCAGGTAGCAGCGGTAATTGCCATTCTTTTCTTTCCAAGACAAAACAGTAACAGACCATGAATATATATTTATATAGTATTTGTGGGTATCAGTGTCATAATGTATTTTTGTCTGAGTAAGTCATCAACTCTGCCATCTTGTCCATACCTAATGGTGTTATAACCAATAAAATAAGCTGCAAATGCACACCATTAATTTGACGAACAGCCAAAATGCAGTCAATTACCAGGGGGTAATACAAATTTAGGTTTGGATGAGACTGCATGTTGTGAACTTAACATCGAATGAGCCAACATGGTGCTGACATAATCCAGAAACCCACACATGGTCTATGGTGTTCAGTTACAGTTCTCAAGCACATTACCTAGGAAAATTGTTGATATGTTAGTGTGAATCTGGCTTCCACAACTACATGTACTATACATGCGAGTAATGCAATCATATCCAAATGTACATCATAGCAACTAAGATTCCACTGCTCAAGAGATATCACATTTAATAAATGTAAACTCCTGTAAAAAGAAATGGTTTGTTGTTCATAAAAGACAACTTTTTGACACTTAAGTCAAAAACACAAGTCACAGTGTTCAATTTCATGTTAGAGCACCACCACCAACGATAGAATAGAGAAACTTTTTTGATATATCAATCAAAATCCACCTATATTGAATGAATTTGAAAAGCATTACTCAGGGAAAAAAACAAAAAAAAACATTGCATTAATAAATCCTGTTTTTGGCCTTTCACAGCGAGTATTACGAATTATACTCGTTTAGGAAAACAAATCTTTCTAAAAGCCATGCTACTTATTCATTAAAACGATTAGTTGAATCAGTTTACATAAGATATATACATTTTTATATATAATGTACTTTTCACATGATAGTATCAAGAGTATATTTGAAATGGTAGTCAACAAATTCGGCATTCGGTAATATACATATGCAAATTAGTTAACAATGCTTCAACTAAACCAACCTTTCTTGCTTGCTGAGAAATGAGATATTTCTAACTTTGAGTTGCCCAGTAACTCTGAGTGGTTCCCTGATTTATGTTACTTTTATAGGTTATTTTTTGGAGCTCTATAGAATTACTTATAAAGTATATCGGTAGTGTACAGATCAATTTTTTTTTCCAAAAATAGGACGGTGAGGCATTTTTTTTGTTTTTTACTAAAATAGCTGAATTCACACAAATTTTGCAGGTTTAATCAAATCGTCACCAGAGGGCGCTGTGTAGTTGCAAAAACAAAATTTTACCTTCTTAACAGAACCATTAATTGTATCCCACTCAATGATACTTATACAAAATGATCACATTACCATGTACTTTCATATAATTCCTTATTTTCATACAAAACAAATCAAAAGTTGAACAAATCTTGGAGAGGAAGAAAGTTCTAGCAACAACTCAATTGAGTAAATTGAAGGTGTTGGTGTTTGCATGAATACAGCTACTTGTCTGTAATACTAGGCTGGGAAACTTCCAATGGATATTGCCATAGCAACATAATATTAGTAGTGTACTGCTATGGTTGAGGACAATCACATTATTTCCATGATATACTTTACTACACAATCATCACCCACCTATCCTAATAAGGAATGGTGTTGCATCTTGGGAATGACCTGAAAGGTCACACATCTGCTCGGTATCAGAAATTACATCTACTCCAGAGTGCTTCTACAATTTTTTCTCGATTACATTTTAAATTTAAATTAAATCGAAACCACCAAAAATACCACAATTTATCAACTTTCTAGCAATTATTGTGATATGATTTTGTACAAAAAAACAATATACAAATTACTTCGGTGAGGGGAAATTACGGCTGCGATGCACAATCGAGAACATTGACTCCCTTTTCAGCTTCAGTAAGTAGATGGATCCTTTTCTCAGGCTGATTACCAACTTGAATTACAAGGTTATATACACATCCTACAAATCCAGTATTGTATTTACCCCCAGTCAACGTTTCCATATCTGGAGTGCTTCCTGAAAGAGGATAAACCAATATGCAAATTAGAAGATGTATCGCATGGTAACAGTTATCCAATCATAGCCCATTTACCATTATAGTTTATTTGTGGTCTTGGTAAGTTACAGCCTGATTGGCCAGTGACTGTGGTCTTACCATCCAGGGATGTAACTCAAAAGACTTACCTATATATAAACTACCTTTGACATTAAGACTCAGTAAACTGCCACCTGATTGGCCAGTTACTGTGGTCTTACCATCCAATGTCATTGAACCGTCTTTGGCAGTTCTGTGAGGAAACAAAAAATAAACTGTATAATACAATGCATTAAAACATTAATTAGTCCCCGTTCGGACGCAGTCCAAAAACGGGACTTATGTTTTGACCTCTGTGCCTCCGTGCTTCAGTGCGTCCGGACCTATATCTTAGAAATGCCTGGACCAATCACAATCAAACTTCACACATACATCATACATGATATTATACATATGCACATCAATTTGTTCCATGATCTGATTTTTGTTCTAAAAATCATCAAAATCAAACATTTTTCGGCTGTTTACATATGAATTTTGTTCAAACTTGGTATATACTTTAGACATAATAGGACCTTGATGCACATCATTTTGTTTTCAGATAAGATTCAAAATGGCCGACTGACTTGCTGTGACTGATTATGTTCAACTTTTAAATATTCATTATACATCATGTCATTGATATACAGACATTACTGGTTCCTGATGCACGTTATTTTATTTTTTAGATTCGATTCAGAATGGCTGACTAGTGGCCATTTTGTTTTAATGAATGGGCTTCTAGAGCCATATCTCTGACATGCTTTGACTGGCTATGTTCAAATTTTATATATTCATTATACATGTATTCAAAATGGCTGATTTTGTTTTAATTAATGCTGTTCCAGAGCAATATCTCTCAATACTCGTTTGACGATCAGATACAAATGTCAATCATTTAAATGTTAAACAATCATCATAATCATATTCCTGACATGTTTATATTCCAGCTATATTACCATAAACAAAACTATATATCTTAAATTTGATAACTAACATGGACTGTGCCATGCATGGCTTGTTTATTATTATTATAGTTATAAGAATTAAAAACATTCAAGATATTTCATTCTTTATTTTTTGCATTTAGGAATATTTCCAAAAAAACTTCTTCAGCAACTATGGTGTGTGTAGTTGTAGGGAATCACTTGACTCTGAATTATAGCACACTGACTTACCTTCTAAGTATCACAGTATGCCATTCACCATCATTTACTCTTTTATTGGAATAGATATTGGCTTCACCACTCCCTAGTTGGTAACTGAAACACACAATCCATTTATAAGTATTTACAAACACTCAATTTATTTCAATTACTATTTTTTACTATCTTTATTTTTTGAATAATCGCAAAAAATTTGATATGTTATACAATCTGATTAAAATCTGATGTAGTGTACAGGCTTTAATTATTTTGGCTATAAACTTATTTTAATTTTATTTTTATTACTTTTGTTATTAATGCCCTTTTATTTTATTATTTTACTTTGATTTTGATTTTGTGATTTTTTTTAATTCCGCCCTACCTACATCTGACCCGATGCCTATGTAACGAGATTTCAACGAGACCCACTATCGACGATTTTAGTCAACGAATCACAGACCTCCTTCTATAGCGCACATGATGACGTCACCGGGCGGAGTCGGGTGGCAAACACACTCAAATAAAATGGCGGATTATACCGACCGAGAATAACACGGCTTTTCGGTAAGTTTATCATTGTCAAATGCAACGAAAGTCATTTTTATGTTAGTATTGTGGCTCAAATGGTTCGACTTTAGATCGTTATTTTGCATTGTTATTCTGGGAGTGACGATTTTGTTTCCGGCCTGCCCTGGAGACAGGTGATGTTTTGTTGACGATTGGGCCAACATCGTCTACGTTATTGAAGCCGTAGCTGTTCGTCAAATTGTATCAACATTTTGTACATTATACAATAACTCTTTATTAAAGTAATTGAGCTGATTTGGACTGGAATAAAATATTTTTTATTGGAACACATCGCAATTGATCAGGAAATATTTTTTTGCTCCACTTTTCTGCGTCGATGCCGTGGGCCGGTGACCGTTATACAGTGTTCTAATCATTACGATTTACTTATTTTTTTGCTTCCATTCTAGATAATTATGCTCAGTGATGTAAAATTGAAGCGATGACTGAATGAACGAACCTTGGCTGGCGAAGATGTATCTGGAAGTGTACACATTTGTTGGAAGTGAAAAAAATATTCAATGTAATGAAAAAAATTGTAAAATGCTGTGGAATTTCTTTTGCAAATAAAAATATACTAGCAATTTTCTATTAATGGTTTATTCAAGTGGACAAAATATAATGTACAGAAAGATTGCCCGTAGAGTATCGCTACACTGAAAAGTAAGCAACCGACAGCCTGTATAAAAGGGGGAGCTGTGATTGGCTGTTACTTACGCAAGATTTGAACAGGACTTACATAGGCGTCGGATCAGATGTAGGTAGGGCGGAATTAAAAAAACAAGCAGCCTCTCGGCTGAGATGTCTCCGCTGTTAGCGATGCACATTTCAATTAAAGAACAGAAGATATCATTAGAAAATGAACAATATGCATAGTATCAATGCAATGGGACTTGCTGTTTTCAACAAGAATCAAAAA